CTTTCTAGGCTCCACGAAGTTGTTCAATGAAAGTCAGCCTCGTGAAGGCCTAGCGCGCCTGCTTCAACCACAGGCCTGGTGGCCTGGGTAGATATGGGGAAACGGTCGCACGTACGTGTGAGTGTGAGGGTGTGTGCGTTCATTAGAGCATGCTGTGAAGTTCACAGAGCTCGTTGGACGATGCGGTCACTGCGCTGGAAATAATACACCGCTACGAGTTTAGGCGCGGCAACAAAAGTGTTACCCCTGAAACGTGCCAGGCAAGCGTCAATTTGTGTGATTCCCCGTTCTTCGTCTTCGTGTGCAATGAATGGAATTTGCTTTGGGTGTCTGTCTTGCCGCAAAATACTGCCAAGCAGACACTCCGGACGCCCGGGAGGACGCTATCCAATCTTTCTACTTATTGTGTGTCTCACCCTGTTTTGAAAATTCCTTGGTGGCATTGTGGAAGCAGATGGATGCCTTGACCGGTACAGTAAGTGCAGATCTAACCACCAACATCGAGGTGTCATTCCCTGATGGATAGAGGGCCATACCATCACGGTGCTACACTCCGTTATCACACTTAGTGTCGCCATCGTTGTCCACAGATTCCGGTAATTTTGCGTTCGAACGTCGTAGTTGGCACCCCAACGTTGAAGCACTTAACCCTGATGTAGTCTGCGAAATGCCATCCAGGTCAGTAGAAGCAACGCGCAGTACAGAACAGGAGATGCTATGGCAAACCTGCTGAAGGATACCTTCTTTATGGATGTACATTGTACATTCTAAGGACAGCGATATGAAGTGCCAGGTTTGTTTGCTCGCAATCGTGGATGGTTGGCAGCATGTAAAAACTTGTGCATTCCTGGATCTGTGCTGCAATTTCTCCGACATCCAAGCATGCTGTGGCAAGTGCAGACGAGGAGATAGTGTCACCGGGCGGACCGTGCACTACCGTATAGCTTACACAGTAAGTATGCATGTATATAGAAAGTTACTTTGCAGATAGAAGCTCATTTAAGGCAACACTA